TAAATAAATAAACTGCAAGCATATGTACTTTGACCGAAACATGATGGCCAGATCAAAATGGAATTGATAGAATCTGTAAATAGGAGCTTTTACAGCATACCTCTAACAGACTAATCGGTGCAACCTCAAAGTTGTCAGAGAAGTATTTGACAAACTAAACAATGCACATAAAAGATCGATTTTTAGAGTCTTTCTTTCGGCCACTAGTAAATATTCCCGACCTCATATTGTCTTCGCAATAGTCCACCAGGTACTTCGTAGGACATTGAAAGCGTCCGAAAACGACAAAGATGCTGTGTGGTTCAGATTTGGGGAAAAAGAAGCTAGATTCGGGTCACAAGAATTTTGTCTTGTAACCGGATTTAAGATTGTGGAAGATGATGAAAATGCGTACGAGGTCCCCAGAAATAACAGTTCTCATTTGCAACTGTTCAAGGAGAAACAGGGGAAGATCAAACGCAGTGACATAATCGAGAAATTTCATGAGCTGGATAATGAGAAAGACGCGGAGTTGAAGTACAAAATGGGACTTGTGACGGTCTTGGAGCATGTTGTTTTGTCTGCAGAGTGCGAGACTCTTGTAAATGAAAGATGGTTTTATTTAGTTGAAGATTTAGAAAGATTCAACAGTTATCCTTGGGGCAACTTGTCGTATCAGCAAACTGTAAAGTTGTTCCAGCGGACCTCTTTCGGGAAAGAAAAAAATCCAAAGTCCATAAAGTATTCTTTGCATGGATTTTCCCTGGCTATTTTGGTAATTTTCATCTAAATCTATATTTATGTTGTGTATTATTTATTTGTGTTAGTTGTATTTTTAATTATGCTCTCTTATTTGCTAAGCAGATTTGGGCATTTGAGGCGCTTCCCGACTTAGGAAGAGAATTTGCCGAAAAAAGAAATGATCTCCAATTTCTGAGAATGTATTGTTGGAAAATGGAAAAACAGTTGCGAGGCGACCAACTTAATACTTTTTTCGACAGGGCGGAGGTAGCGGAGGTAATTTTGGTTACAAATTATTCTTCTTATTTATTGTTATACGTATACTTTAAAAAACTAATTATATTTCAATCAGATTGAAGTTCGACGAACGTTGGAACCCTGTTCATATGAAGTTGAGTCTTCATATTTAAACGAATTGGGTATAATTGCCCAGGAAGAAGATAGTGTCCGTCCAGATGAGGATGAAGAATGCACTGCGACCAAAGTTCAGGAAGAAGGCAGTTCATCATCTAAAGTTGATGATGATGATGATGAAGATGAAGAAGAAGAAGAAGAAGAAAAATGCGTCTCAACATGATCTACCACAACCTCACTTTTTGGATGAAGAAAAGATCGCAACTATAGTGAGGAGAGTGAGAAGAAGAAGAAGAAGAAGAAGAAGAAGAAGAAGAAGAAGAAGAAAAAAATGCGTCTCAACATGATCTACCACAACGTCACTTTTTGGATGAAGAAAAGATCGCAACTATAGTGAGGAGAGTGGTGAAGGAAGAGGTGAGAAAAGTTGTGAAGGAGGAGATGAACAATTTATTTGAGAGAATGAAGAATGAATTTTATGAAGCAAAAGATAAACCATCTAGCCGTGGTACTCATGATGATCGAGATGTTGAGGTGGAGAAAAATGTGCGGGATAAGGAGACCGTTGAATGTGGTAAAATTATTACTCGATTATTATACATCAATGCATTATATTAAAGTTCTTACTCGGTTATTAAAAAAAATAGAACAAATGCAACATGTTATTGAATTACTTTTTTTTTCTCTTTCACAGATACGATGAAATCACCATCTCCAATGCCCGAGCATGAAATGGTTGGACTTCATGATGATGCGGGTATGTAAAATATAATTTTAACTACTACGTAATTTGATTGTGCATTGTTGTAAATAAATGAGTATTGATTGTCTTTTTTTTGCTTATTGTAGGTTTTGCGTCATCAGCCATTGTTGTGTATCAAGATAGACCACTACCAACACCAGTGGAGATAGAGCCAACACCAGTGGAGATAGAGAAAATCGATGTAGACGATCCACTTGAGTCTCCTAAGGGGAGAGGGCACCGGAAGAAAAGAAAGGCCGCCGTTCTATGTACTCCGTGGAGAAATATTGAAAAAAAGAAAAAAATTTGCAACTGTGACAGAGTACGACCCTTTTAGACCAGTGGATCCATCTAAACTTGAAGATCTCCAAACGTGGTTGTCGAGCTCCCCTAAAAGGTATGTAATTGTGTTAATTTAATTGTGGGCTACTTATTGTAATATATAAGGTTGTATGTCTTTGTTTAATGTATTGATTTTTTATGTAGTTTTGAGTTGTCCTATGGTGGTCAAGTAGATAAAGATTTTTTTAAATAACTTGTGAACGATGGATGGCTTTCTACTGAGGTAAAACTATTTACGAAAATTTATTCAATATTTTAACTTTCAAAAGCATGATATTCGCTAATCTAATAAACATTATTATACTCTTAGCATGTAGATGAAGCGCTTTTTCACATTCGAGAGCGTGGTGAACAGTTCCCTCACTTGTTTAGACAAGAGTGTGTTGTCTTGGACACGTTTTTTATCCCGTACGTGAGAAACTTCTTCATGGACATGTCGAAGACTAAACAATTACCGAGGGCCATGAGTAGATACGCGAGAGGGGAGATACCCAATAATAGAAAGTCGTAGACTGCTTGTACGAAATTATATGTTCCTTTCTGCAAAGAGGGCAATGGCCACTGGCTCGTGCTGGAGATTGATCTATCCCTGAGATGCATTAACGTATACGATAGCGAAACAAGTGTCATGCGGAGGGCAGAACTGGAGAAGCAACTTGAGCCCATTCGAGTTGTTGTACCGATGTTACTGATGCAGCTGAATGCTAACTACAGCGCTGAAAAGTTTGAGTACAAACGGTTGACATCTCCTAGCCAAAGCAATGGGTACGTATAATATATATTTTGATCATATTAGGTTTTTAACTGTAGTATAAAACTTGATAAAGTAATAGAATTACATACATTTATGGTGCAGGTTTGATTGTGAGATGTTTACAATTAAGTTTATAGAATTTCTGCATGCTGGGAAGAATGTAGAAGGCGTAGAGCAATCTCAGATTAGTATTTGGCGTGAAAAACTAGCGGCTGAAATATATGGTGCTCATTTTGATCCATGATTTGTTTTAAACATTCAATATGTAATGGATTGTAGGGATCTTTTGGATAATACATTTTTGTATTATTTTTCATGTGTTATTCAATGTAACGGGTGGACGATTTTTGAAGGTGTATTTTTTACGTACTTCCAAATGCAATGGTTAAAAATAGTATTTTGTCAAAATCTTTATTTTTTAAGGTGTACTTTTTACGTACTTCCAAATGCAGTGGTTAAAAAATAGTATCTTTTAATGCAACTTTGCTCCCAAAAATAAGTCGAGGAATCGATTAACGAATGTACATTTTGTATGAAATAACGAATTTCCATTTATTCGTTATTTTGAAAAAAAAATAAAAGTTTCTTGTCGCGGGCAAGACATTTGTCGCGCCAGCGACATATACTAGTTTCATTATAACGACTATAAAATCGCTTTTTATACAAAATAACGATCTATATTCGTTATTTAAAAAAAAAAAAATTGGCGTCACGGTCGCGACATGTATCGCGCCCGCGACAAGTAGTCGTTTAATTATAAAAATCGTTTTTATGTCGAAATAACGATTCTATATTCGTTATTTAAAAAAAAAAAAAGGTTTTTTTATGTCACGGTCGCGACGTATGTCGCGGCCGCGACGTCCTTAGCACAGGTTCTGTCGCCCAATGTAAGGGCCCAGTGTCGCGATCACGACACATGTCGCGATCACGACACATGTCGCGCCCGCGACAAGTAGTCGTTTAATTATAATGACTATACATTGGTTTTTTTTGTCGAAATAACGATT